AACAAATTACTAAAAGCTTAGTGGTTTAAAAACTCAGAAATTTGTCATTTCACAATTCTGAAGAACAGAAATGAGAAACAAAACTGTTCACTGGGCTGAGCTCACCCTGAAGGCTCATAGGGAAAATCTTTACTTGCCTTCTACACTGTATGGTGGTTGTAAGGCTGCTGCTTGGCCTGTGCTGGTATGGCCCCAGTTCTTGCTTCTGTCCTTACACTCTTTTCTCTCCTCATCCCTGTCTCTCTCCTGTAAGTGTTTCTACTAAGGTCACTTGTTAAGGGATTTTGAATGTGCTGAAAAGGATTTCATCTAAAACAAAACAAAACAAAACAAAACGAAACAAAACAAAACAAAACAAACCAACCTTTGTTGGGGCCGGGGAGATAGCTCTGTAGACCCTGGCAAGCTCAAGGTCCTGAGTTCAATTCCTGTACCACAAAAATAAATAAATAAATAAACTTCTGTTTAATTGCATCTCCAAAAACCCTTTTTTCTAAGTGTAGCAGTTGATGGACTGTGTCAACTTGAGAAGTTTAGAAGCTTAACTAAATCGGCTCAGCAAGGCCACACTCTGGGGTGCAGAGGTCCCACCTTAGGGTGGCTCATCACTTAAAGAATGTAAAAGGAACTTTGGACAAAGGAGCTCCAGTCTTCATCTTCAGCTTGGACTTCACTCCTGGCTTTCAGCGCAGACTCTTTAGCCTCCGCCCTGGATCCTTCAGTCTTCTGGTGTAGACTCATCAGCCTTCTTTCACAGACCCATCGGCCTCCTGACACAGACTTGCATGGAGCACTGCAGTGAGCTCCAGGCCATGGACAGCATCCTTCCTCATCCGACTCTGCCGCTGACCATCAGGAGCTAATCTTCTAATTTTTTATACATTTGTACATCTTGTATTATATCTGTTTCTCTAATGAAACCCTGACTGATACATCCACTAAGGTCATATGTATAGGCTTAAAGGGCTCAGGATGTGGACCCAGCTTGTGGGCGCCATCACTGAACTCACTAATAAAGAGCAGAAGAATACCATGGGAGACGTACCACTAGCTGTTCCCCGCAAAGGCGCATCATATTTGGGAAAGCACAAAGCCAAGCCTGGAATTTCAGTGCTCTGAAAAATGGAACTTGAAAGCAGTGAAGAAAACATGGAACAAGAGAGACAATTTCATAAACTGGCCATTAATTCTTCTCTTTTTAGACTGACCCTCAGCTCCTTTCCAATTTGAAGACAATTGTAAGCTTGTTCGGCTTGTTGTCTGTTTCACTATGCTTTAAAACAAAAGCAGTGTTGACTTGACATTCCCAATGGTTTCATTTTTTGGATAAATGAAAGTGAACTTTTTCAAGGGCTAGTAGAAATCTCTCTGGGCAGCATGAGATATTTTTAACACACTAACAAGAATATATTTAACATAATTTGACAACTTTCTTCCATTTATTTAGTCTCTTCTCCTATTCTAAAATTGGTGTCGTCACATATTTATTGCGATGTAAATCAACTGGTATAAACTTTTTAAGATGATGTTGGTGCTAGGTTTATAATTTTCAAATGTACATACTATCCCCTTAAATGATTCAATTAGAAAGGTAAAAACACCAAACGTTATTTTTCTTCTCTTTATAGACAAATGTATTAGGGAATTAGCCTGAAGTCCATTGCATTGCTTGAGCTGTCATTCAATTTTAACCGAATTCCTATTAAAATTCTATTTAAAACTGTCCAAAGAAAACGACACATTTATTACACCAAGGGAAATCTGAAGAAGAGATGCTGCTCAGTTTGCAGGTGTTGAGACAAGTGACTGAGAGAGACTTGGGCCCAACGCAAAGATGTTTGACTTGCTTTTATGAATTCATGATCTTAAAAATGTTTCTTGGCCTTTTTATAAGTATGATATGGATACTTGTTTTAATTTAAAATCTATTATAAATATTAAATTATACAATATCTATTAAATCGCAGCACAGTGCCATGCGCATTAGCACATGAAAACCATTCCATAAAAGGTGTTATTATTAGTAATTTTGTTGTCACATGACTCTGCAATAATGACTGTCCCAGCTTGTAGCAGGTCCTTTTGTCAATCCTTCTGTTGTTCCAAAATCATTGCTCGGGATGGTGCATTCATTCATAAGTTTCCATGTACAACTTACTGGCTTCTGGGTCTCCAAGTTTGTCTTCTGTCTTCACTTTACAGCTCTAGGCTTTTCCTGGAGCCAATGTTTGTCTTCTACTAGATTTTGCCACTTTGCTGGCATATTGCCACCCTTCTTTATCCTTCTGCTCCTTAAATATGGACTCTCTCAACATTTATATTCTTGAGCTTCTCCTTCAGTTTTCTGCTTTCATCTGTAATCTCCATCCTGGGGCTCCCAAGCTGAGACTTCCAATGCTAGATTTTGTTCACCTAGATGCAAGATCAGCTTTCCAAACTTCCTGCTCATAATTTCCATCTTGTGAGTTCCTTGACCCTGAAGCTCAACCAGCCTCATTATTTTCCCCTCAAAACTGACTCTTTTCCCATTTTATTTCATAGAAATAGCATTGTTCCAGTCATCTACATTGAAGCTTCATAGCAATTTTGAAGATCACATTTCTTGGCAAATGCTACCTAAAACAAAGCAACAATTGCATCTCCAAAAATCCTTTTTGCTAAGTATAGCTCTCTCATTGGACTATTCACTCTATAAGCTCCCCCTGTTAGGAAGTAAGAAAGAAAGAATTACACAAAACTTAAAAAAAGAAAGAACTAAAAAATCAATTCTAAAGACCAGTAGTGCGCTAAGTGTGACAACATCATGAATGTAGTATATAAGTTGCTTTTAATTTTTTCTCTTTATCAGATATTCTTAGCCCTCAATGAGTTACCTGGCCATATACACTTGTGGATCTTAAGTGTCAAAAGAATGGGTACCTAGACTGAGCCTCAAAGATGTTCACTATATTGTTATTTATATAAAATATTTAAATGTTCAACAGTAGTGCATTTGTTGATTAAATATTGTTACATATAATATGTGATAGATACTCTGCAAAAAATTAAATCTAATGCAATGTTCTATTAATTGCTATAGAAATATATTGCTATGGATTGTTAATTTAATGAACAAGATTTGAAAAAGAAGGAATGAGACAACCCAAGGGTTGCTACTTGCTCCAAGTTCTTAACAGGGAATTTCTGTATATAAATGTGAGTGCTAGGGAGCACGAAAGGAAACCAAAGGTGGGAAATGGATGTAGAGTAATCTAAACACTTGAAAGAGCATCAATTTTTAAAGAGTCATAAAATTCAAAAAGAATATTAGATCTGAAGTCCAAGTGCAGTTCACATGTCTCTCAGCAATTGAATTTGAGTGATTTGCTCTGTGGCGTTCATCTAGACAAGACAGACGTGGAATCTGAGGCGTCTAAAATCATTGTTTTAATTGTCACCATTTTCTTGTCAGTGCTGAACTGACAAATGCACCCAGTTGGTACATTTTAAGCATGTGGGAAAATTAATGCAGCCTCAAAGCTTGCGAATAGCTACCTAGACAGAAACCAACTAGTATCTTAAGAAAAGGAAGTTTAAGAAATAATTTATACTTCGTTTGTTGTTATTTCTTCAGTGGATGACTATACACATAGCTTAACATTTTTCTGAGCCTCAAATGCTTTTGGCTACAAAACAGAGAGCCCTGATCTATTCCTTGGGACCATTCAGAGGTTTATACAATGTAAACCTAAGTTGAGACCAGCACTCAGCATACACAAAGAGTTTCACTCAGTGCCAGCGCTTTCTTCACTCTTCTTGTATTGCTCATGAAGACTGCAGTTAGGGCTTACCGTAAGTCTGTTTCAAGCACTGAATTGTGCCTCTCCTGTCCCAAAACTTGTATTGTGAAGTCCTGACTCCCAGGACCTCAGAGCAAATCTCTATTGATCAAGCCACTCAGAGTGTGATCCTTTCTAATGGCAGTGCTGGAAAGTAACACACTGAAAATTCTTGGCTTGAATTATTTGTAAATACATCTCTAAGGAACTAGTCCTTAATCAGGGCCTATAAGGTCCTTCATTTCTAAATTCAAGGAAAGTATGTCAAAAATCCCTATCATCCAACTCTTAGGTAACATGTATTTTCGTGAATAAAGAAGATAAATTACCCTCAGGCAAATTTTCTAGGATGTTACTAAGCTTAGTTTATCAGATAGGTAGGGAGAAAGAGAGAGAGAGAGAGAGAGAGAGAGAGAGAGAGAGAGAGAGAGATCTCAATGTCTCTACATCAGATCTATATAGTCCATACTTATATCTACTCTGGCTTTTAAGAAGAATACTACAACAAGATTTTTCACCATTTTTATAAAAAAAAAATCTTGCTAAAATACTATTTTAATAAAATGAGCATATTATGCTCCCTTATAAATTTCTATTGATGATAATTTGTCAGCCAGCAGTGTGTTGTGCAATCCCACTTTCTGTTGTATTTTTGAAGATTCTGTCCCATCTCCAGAGTGTTTCCTTGAGACCCTATACCCAAAGGGCAGTTTCTAGGTGAAGGCTGCGAAGATCTTGATCTTGTAACACTTTTCTCCCAAATTGCTTTGCCAGCAAGGAACCCGGCTTAGTCCTTCTTTGAGGGTTTACTCCAAGGTAATTGTGGAAGCGTGTGAAGAAGGGCCACGACCTGAGGGGCACGGCTGCCCACTGCCACACCGCGCAACGGATGTCACCAAAGCCATGCATAGTGCGTGGGTATCGTGGGTGTGAATCTCTCTTTCATGACCCTGGAAGAGGGCGGTGAAATGCCGCGAAGGCTCACGTACTGAGCCAAAAGCGTGCCTCTTGCCTCAGCTCTCAGGGATGTCCGTCCTGACCCGCACGCTCGAGTGTTTACTTCAGAGATAATTTTCAATAAACTGTTGTCACTTGAAAATAAACAGCCTGGACAATGTAGGGTCACTGGAGATACGGAGAAAATAAACACTGGGGAGGGCGCTCCCTTCGGCCTTTGTAACCCTGTCTGGAATGTGTGCTCCATGCAGATCTTTGCCTTTCTTTCTCGCTGTAGCCCGCTTTAAAGACTCACGCTCTTGGTCTGACATTTCTGGGAGACCCCTGTTTTGAGGAGATGCAAAAATGAATGGCGCTGGAGTCCTGCTTCGAAGTAACCAGTTTATCCTCCTACTGCTCTTTCTCCTGCAAATCCAGAGTCTGGGTCTGGACATTGACAGTCGCCCTGCTGCGGAAGTCTGTGCCACACACGCCATTTCTCCCGGACCCAAAGGTGAGGAAAGAAAGCCCACATTTTTATACAAGTCTGATCTGCTTCCCCATCTTCCAGCCCCATCCTAACCTGTCAAGGTTTCACCCCTCTGCCCTGGCTAGTTTTCTCCCGCTTCCCTTTGGTTTGGGAAAATCAACAGTGTATTTCCTACTTAAAGCTTTCTCTGGAATTTAGGTAAGGGGAAGAAAGGAGGAGGCCCAGCCAGGGGAGTGGGCATCTTTCTAGGTCACTGGGGTAGGGAACTCCATCATCTCCCACCAGGCCCCAGAGGAAGTTGTGCACCTGAGATGGCAGCCCGCTGGAGCTCTCTTCAAGGCCCTCGGTGTCTATTCTTGGGGTGTTTTCCTTTTGTCCATTCTCATACTGATTCTGGGAAAGCTAGACAGGCAAAAGGTCAGGAAAGTAAACATTAAATCCTAACTGAACTTTTGCTTTTTAATTATTGGCTCCTGGGTGCCAAGAGAAGCTGGGAATTACTGTTGTTCAGGGTAGGAGGTAGGATGGTAATGAACATTTCTTCATTGGAAAGTGGAGTCTTGGAGGCCAAGTGCCCTGAGTTGAAGGATAGAATGCTGCAGAGTTTTTCGAGTGGAGTCAAGGTCCAAGGTCCAAATGTGCTTTAAGCAACTGGTTGATTAAAAAAAATCTGTTTTCTTGGTTTCAGCTCTTACCCTTTTGCTCTGAACGTGGTCACTGCACTGCAAACTGGTGCACTCTCATTAGTAATTCATGCTGTTTCTGCAGGCTATGGGGTTGAAGAATTGCAGCTGCTTAAAATTTTAAGCAAAAAAAGAAAATCCTTCCAAATAAAATGAAAAAATACACGGCCCGATGCTTGTCAGTTATTTAAATGTGCATTGCTTAAAGTGCATGTTTCCTATTCAGTGAATAATTCCCCCCTAAGATTACAGTCCAAGTTTTAACCTTTGCTATTAAGAAATGAAGGCAGGGAGAGACAACGAGACCTCGAGGCCTCCAAACGATTTTGGGGGTGAACAAATGAATAATGCGAGGGCAAGTGTTCAGGAAAGAAAGTTTTTGCTTGCAAAAGTATTTACTTAAAACATTACTGGAATTTTCATGGAATGCAGGAAACTGTGCTGCCCCTGTGGCGCTGGGGACAATGCCAGAAATGGATGTTTGCCTTAGCTGTGCGAGTGGGATCGGTGAAAGAAATCGCAACTTTCACACTGAAAATGTTTGAAACACTAAAGTGTCAATAAAATAATATCCAAGATATAATGCTTTCCAGTGCAACACTTCTATCCATGCCAACGCAGCTAGCCTACGCTGAGCACTTAGTATGTTTTGAGCAATATTTTGGGCCCAACAAGTACTTTAGATGTTATTAGTGTTGTGAATGATGGAGAAGCAGGGAATTCACGAAGAAGGATGTGGAGGTCAGAGCAGATTTTCTGGGAAGGTCGTTCCTGAGGTGGATCTCAACCGTGATTCTTCTGGGCAGATGGAGAAAGTGTACATTCTGAGGAGCAGGCAGAGTACAGAGCATGAAGCAGAAATGTTTAGCATGCACTTGGGCAAGGGATTCCACTGCTTGCTTTTGAGGGGTTAAAAAGTATAAATCAAAATCCTAAATGCTTCAGAGAAAAGGAGTACATTTTAAAAACTATAAAATCACCTTATTTTGTTTTATAGTTTCAATCTATGTTTAATATTTATTGTATATCAGCATGTGTCTACCAGGAGTCTTTTTTGTTTTTGTTTTATGATACTAGGGACTGCACCCAGGACAGACAGAGTCTCCTAAATCAGTAAGTTGGCCAGAGTGGGTTTGAACTTGCAATCATTCTGCCGCAGCCTGCCAGAGTGCTGTGGTACCATATCTGGCTCCTCCACGAATCTTCCAGTCTTCATTTCTTCATCTACCACAGAACCCTTCCTCCCCATTAGAAATCATGTTATGATTTCAAATAGGAGAAATCTCCCTAAGTCTCTTCTGGAGCCCACGTAGATGTATGAGATGATTACAAACTAGGGCTTGGCAGGAGGAAGATCTGAGGGCATCGGGGAAGGGAGAGCTGCTCTCGAGCCCTGGGTTCCAGAACTGTATTGTCATAGACTCAGGGGTCATTCCTGTTCATTCTTGATTGGAACTTGGGGGCTTTGCATCAAACACATTCTAAATTCCCTTCTCAGTAAAGAGGGTCTGCGATTCCAGAAGTCCTGCCTATTGTGCGAGATGATGAGGCCTAAAGCTTAAATGAAGAACCAGTTTTAGGACTACCCATCAAGCCCAGGATTAGATGGCAAACTCTGGGATAACCACCCGTTGACTTGTTTCTCTCTGCGCGTGCCCACGTACACACAGGGAGCACCACTGAGTGTATGATTGCTGCCTTTCTTGCTCTCTGCATTTGGGGTTAGAGATCCAGCAAAAGCCATGTCATGCAACATATATGTGTGTGTGTGTGTGTGTGTGTGTGTGTGTGTGTGTTTTCAGTTGATTTTTTTTTCCAGAATACTTGTTTTTTTGTTTGTTTGTTTGCCCCCCCCCAAGTTTGGTAGATTTTTTTTTAAATTTTTTAAATTTTTTTCCATAATTTTATTGAGAAACAAATAGCAATGGGACAGTTTCAAATCAAATTGGTAGGACAGTTCCAATAATTAATACATTGCATACTCTCTTCTTAGTGGTTATTTGCTGTACAAGATGCGGACATGATACCCTATTTACAAACACTATTACAACAAATCCCTCTATTCATTAAGAGAATGTAACTATATATCTATCCTATCCATTTTGAATACACAGATACAAAA